TTCGCTGAACTCCAGCCTCCCTGGGACCGTGAGGCGCTTTAGGGGTTTAAGGTGTAGGGTTTAGGGTTTAGGGTTCAGGGTTTAGGGTTTAGGGTTTAGGGTTTCAGGGGAGTGAAATAGGGTTTTATGCCAGGAATGTTGAGGGTTTTGAACTCGAGTCTCCCTGCCTCCCGTGAGGCGTGAGCTGCTGGTCCTACCGGCAGAGCTGCTCTTTGACGCCAAGGCACTGCCACTTACGGATCAGAACTTGCGACAGGGCGCTGCCGCATCTCTCTTCCGCTCCTGTGACGCAGCCTTCGGCTTCCTCCTAGGGGCTGGATCAGACGGCCAGGACTTGCGAATTCTGGGTGCCTGGCTCAGGGCCGTGCGAAAGGCACAGCTCTGGCTGCCCACTGGCGATGTGGCTGCGCCCTTGCGGTGCCTGGCACAGTACTTGGAGCCACTCTGCAGCGCCGCATTGATGGCAAAAGCCGAAGCGTCCGAGGTGGGTAGTTCTCTAAATCAGGGTCTCTTTTTAGGTCCCCAAAAAACAACACGGCACCCTAAACCCTAAACCCCTAAAAAGACCCTGAAAAGGACGCTAGTTTAAATAACTACCCAGGTGGCACAGCAGCTCGCGAAGTGGCGCGGTGCCCCGAAGGAGGCTGCGGCCCTCCTGGGTCCACTCTGTAGCAGCCTCTTCCAAGGGGACAGCTCCATGGAGGCAGAGCTTCGAGAGGACTCTGCAATGATATTGTAGTATACTATATTTCTATTTTTACATATATATATATATCTATAATTATGTGTTTTTCAGTATACTGTGTTTTCATTAGTATCGTAGGATATGATTTTATATTATATTTCCTTGTCTCAGAGCGTCTTGAGGACTCCTTGAAAAGTTGGCTCCTGCCTCTGCTGGTGGACCTGGCAGAAGACTTTTGGCCGAGAGCTGCGGTTGCTAGGTTCCCCAGTAGTACCCTTTTGCCCTTTTTGTTTTTGGGTTATTTACACCCAAAGAGTAGGAAAAGGGTGCCCCTTTTGTCTGTTTTTGGGGCCCCTTATTTAAACCCAAAGAGTAGGAAAAGGGTGCCCTTATTGTTCGGGGTTTACTGGGGAACCTAGGTTGGCGAGCTCGACCTGGACTGGGAGCTCATCGCTAGACAGGCTTTTGCCCTGCTCGGCGAAGCCGCGCAGACTTGGGATGGGACTCATTCTGTGGAGGAGTGTCTCAACAAAATCAAGTATTTCAGCGCAAGGTTGTTGAAGTGCCTTCTCTAGAATCTCTGAGCCACAACCCTTCACAGCCGTGTCCCAGGTTTGACGATGTCGAGACCACCATCTCTGTCTGGCAGGCTTTTGCGGAAACACTGCATGCAGCAGTGCGAGCAGCAGACACCTTCAGCCTTCACGATGCTGGGCAGGCTCGGTTGTAACTCATCCACAACTTGCCAACGAGAATCCGTCTCTAAATGTGTTTGGAGTTTAGCCCTTAACCCTAACTCCGAAAACCCTGGTCTTATAGACCCTAAAAGTAGAAAGACGAAGCCCTTAACCTTGAAGCCAAAACCCTTACACCGAAACCCGAAGCTCTAAATCCAGAAGAAAATAGCAGCTATAATGTCAGATGAGAGATTAGTTTACAAAATGTTATAACGACGTTGCGATGGCAGGCGGCTGCCTTCCAGCCTCCCCCCGAGAAGCGGAGCCGCCGAGCCAACGACCGCTGGCAGCTCTCCCGACACCACTTGGCCCAAGCGACTTAGTGAGGGTTTAGGGGAGTTAAACCTTAAGGGTCCATGTACCCAAATAGTATATACTTAGGCCTTAAAGTAGTCCCTATATAGGTACTTTGGGACCAAAGTATATACTATTTAGGTACATTGACCCTTAGGGAAATGGGTTTAGGGTTTAGGGGTGTTGGGGGTTTAGGGTTTCGGGGTTATAGTAGTCCCTGTACAAGCCCGTAGAGGAAGTTTAAGGGTTAGGGCCTGAGCTTTGAGTATAGTTAGTAGTCCTGTTGGGGGTTTGAGTTTTGAGTATAGTATTCCCTGCATACCACCTTACAGTGGTCCTTCTACTCCTTCCTCCACAGCAATCAGGCCACCAGCATCAGTTCCCTTTTCTCACTCTTGCTCCAAACTTTGCTGGATTGCATGCGGCTTCCGGAATTCCCGGAAGATGAGGAGGCTTTGGGGATGCTCCAAAGGGCCCGGCATGAGGTGGGTGGTTGTCAAAATTAGGGTCCCTTTTTGGGTCCTTATAATAATACGGCACCTAATATTTAGGCTACCCAAAAAGGGACCCTAATTTTGACAACCACCCAGGTGGAAGCAGCCTTAAAGCCCTGGGCGGCGCTTTTGACGAACTCAGAGACCTGGATCGCAGAGCTCTGGGAGCCCTTGAGGCGAGTGGAGGAGCTGCTCTCCTAAACCCTAAGCCCTAAACCCTAAACCCTAAACCCTAAACCCTAAACCCTAAATCCTAAACCCTAAACAGGAGCTGCTCTCCGGAGTGAAGGAGGAGGAAGGTGACTTCCTGACCTTCCAGGCCTCCCAAACTCTCCGCAAGAACCCCCCAAAATCCCCGAACCTTCAACCCTGAACCACAAAAGCCCCAAAAAAGCCCTAAGCCCTGAACCCTCAACCCTAAACCCTAAACCCGAAAAGCCCTAAACCCTGAACCCTAAGCCCTAAACCTTGAAAGGTGGCCCGGGACATCGAGGTGGTGATCTGGTTCTTCGGGGCCTTCTGCGCCAGCCTCCCCGAGGGCCAGCCGAGCCACGCTGCTGCCGAAGCCGCCTCACGAGCGATCTCCAGCATCGACACTGGACCACATTAGGGTTGAGGGGTTTAGGGTTTCGGGTTTAGGGTTTCGGGTTTAGGGTTTAGGGGTTTAGGGGTTTAGGGGTTTCGGGTTTAGGGTGGTTTAGGCATTGGGGTTGAGGGTTTAGGGTTGAGGCCAGTGGGATTTAGGGTTTAAGGCGTTACGGTTGAGGATATGAGGTTGAGGGTTTAATGCTTCGGGTTTAGGGCCTCTGGTTTAGGGTTGAGGGTTGTAGGGCCCAAGCCAACGGAAGAATGAAGAACATTGTTAACAAGGGTTCTAAGGTCAACGAATGTACAGATGCGGAGAAGGAAGAGAGATGTGACGATTCCAAGACGGGGCGAGACATGTCTGTAGGTGAGGTGCCTCTTTGGCCAGTAGCTGAAGGGAATGCCTCTAAGCTCAACTTGATCTTAATCCAGGCTCCTCAGCTGGCGCACTTGGATGCTGCATTGCCCCCTTGGCGTGCGTTGCTGCTTGGATCTGCACATACTTTGCAGTTTTGGGCCCCTTACCCCACCTGCTTCTGACGCGTGGTATAAGGATAAAGGTCCCTAAACCCTATAACCCTAAACTTCTCCCTAAACCCTTTTTTCCATAAGCCCTAAACCCTAACGCCTGCACCCCATAAACCCTAAACTTAGGTCCCTGAGCCCTAAACCCAACACCCTAGAAGGCTTTGGTCCTCTGCCTGCACATTGGCCGCGGCCGTGAACGCCAAGATGCCGGAGGGGAGAGAACCTCTTCTTCTAGAGTGGATGCTCTTCGCTTCAATGGGACGGGTTTAGGGTTTGGGGTTCAGGGTTTAGGGTTTAGGGTTTAGGATGCTCTTCGGTTGAATGTCAGGGTTTAGGGTTTAGGATGCTCTTCGGTTCAATGACACGGGTTTAGTGTTCAGGGTTTAGGGTTTAGGATGCTCTTCGGTTCAAAGATAACGGTTTGGGGTGTAGAGTTTAGGGTTTAGGGTTTAGGATGCTCTTCGGTCAAACAGAAGCAGTGACGTTTCAAGCTTTTCTTGGGGGTCGTTCTAGGGTTTCACAAGGGTTCTTTAAGGGATCTATAAAGATTACCATGCCAGTTTCGTGAAGAGGCTTGGTAGGGTTCGGTAAACCGTAATATAGGGGCCTTCTTAATAAGTACCTATACTATTTTGGGGGTTCCTTACTATAATTTTATTATACTATACCCCAAAACCCAGGAATTACTTATGCTATTTTGGGGGTTCCTTGTTATAATTATAGTATAGAATACCCCAAAACCCTATGCTAATTATTAAGGCCCCAACATTACCTGGTAGGATTGGCATGAGACCACTGCGCTGAATTGAACCACCAGCATCATCAAGGCTCAACCCCAAACATGCCGTAACCCTTGGTCTAGGACATTTTCAGGTGAGCCTTACGGAAGGTCTATATACCTTATGGAAGCCATATAGAAGCCCTATATACCCTAAACTCCCCACCTGTAGTTTCCTTTAACTTGGAGCATAACCAGGCCCCAAGCCATAAGCCCTAAACCCCAAGCCTCGTGTGATGGAGCTCTTATTGAATCCTCATAGAGCACCTGATTGAGGCCTTATTAAAGACGACCTTCATCGAAGTGTTCATAGAACCCTTAAAAATCCCAAGAAACTCGTCCAGAATCTTTACTTTCCCAGGATTGACCACTTGAAGGACATGTTCCTCACTCTCGATGAGGCCAAGGGTAGCGGCTGCAGGGCCCTCAACGATTAGAGTAGGGTTTCCATGTATATCAAAGCGTAGACAGAACACGGAGCCATATGGGTAGTTCTCTAAACTAGGATTCCTTTTAGGGTCCTTTTACAAGGGTGCCGTACTACAATGGGGCCTTGAAGAGGGACCCTAATTTAGAGAACTACCTTCTTGATGTTGGCAATTATCATGCTTCCGTGGTAGCGCCTTTGCGCTCACTTAGGGTTGGGGGATGTAGGCTTTGGAGACTTGGCCCTCAAGGCCTTTAGCTGATAGCTTTTGTGGCTCAAGGCTCCAGGCTCAATGTCTGAAATGACCTAGACCCCCAAACTACCCTCTAATATACCCTAAATACCCACTATTAAGGACCACAAGGGCTCTATTAAAGGGTCCTTGGGGGGTCCTGGGAAGGGCCTCGGTCCGATACTTCGAGTTGAGGCCCGCAGTCCGAGCATGCAAACTCCCGAATCCATATCTGGACCCGAAGCTGCCCCAAACTCTCGTTCTTAGGGTTTAGGGTTTAGGGTTTAGGGGTCTCCATTGTAGTTCCTTTTTGGGGTTACCTTATAGGATCCTTAATATAATTTTGGTTAATGCAAAAAAAGGAACTACAATGGAGATTATAGGCAAACCCTATTCCTCACAAAGCCCTCATCTAGCTAGAGGCTGGGCCTTAGGGGGTGCGGACACCTTAGCAACACCGATCCCCCAAGGCGAGGCACTGAACCTCATTCCGTGCATCCTCTCCTAGACCCCCAACGTACCGAAGTCAGAACCTACCTACAGTCTCCACTGTAGTTCCTTGTTGGGGTTACCTCATCGGATCCTTAAATATAAAGCTGGTGGACCAAAAATAGGTAAAACAGTGAAGACTATAGGATGACCGCAACATCCAGGAATCAAGCGTGCAAACACCAGTCTGTTCTTGCTGCTGCCACATTTACTCCATCTGCTGCTGCTGCTGTCGGTGCTGACTGATTTCCTCAACCTCTAAACCTCTAAACATCTAAACCGTGTCTAAACCGTAAACCCGTAAGCCCCCTCAACCCTCAGCCCTAAACCCTAAACCCTCAACCCTAACCCCAAACGCCTAAACCCGTACCCGAAAGCCACAGACCCGAAGACCACTGCCCTGGGCCCAACAATCCGCAACCCTGCATTCCCAGAAGGCCTAATATAGGGCCCTGAATAATTGGAATAGGGTTTTGGGTTCAGGGTTTAGGGTTTAGGGTTTAGGGGAAGCCCTAACACAGGGCCCTGAATAATTGGAAGAGGGTTTGGGGTTTAGGGTTTAGGGCCTTAATAATTACGTATACTATTTTAGGGGAGTTCCTTGTTTTTCTTATTGTATAACATACCCTAGAGCCTTATTCTAGCTATGAAGGCTCCTACATTACCTGGACTCGAATCAAACCTACCTTTTTAGGGCTCCGTTTTCGCGATGTCCTCATATGGGTCCTAGAAATCGTACATTTACTTCGGCTTAAGGCAAAGCTTTAGTTGAAGCAAACCATACCCCCGGCAAGCCTTCAAGATAGCTCACTGTCAAGACCTGAAGAATTGAAACCAAGTTTAGGAAAAAAAATAGCACCCGATCCCCGGCGTTTATAGCGGACCATACAGCCTTGAGGAATGGCCCAAACGCCCTAAATCCCCTAAACACCTTAAACCCCTACCCCTAGACCAAGATCCTTCACCCACAAAGCCCCTGAACCATAAACCCGTTTGCAGATCCCTTTACGGGATCCCTTTAAAGGAACCCTAAACTCTAAACCCTTACAAACCCCGTTTACAGATCCCTTTACAGGATCCCTTTAAAGGAACCCTAAACTCTAAGCCCTTACAAATCCCGTTTACAGATCCCTTTACAGGATCCCTTTAAAGAAAACCTAAACTCTAAACCCTTACAGATCCCGTTTACAGATCCCTTTCAAGGATCCCTTTAAAGGAACCTTAAACTCTAAACCCTTACAGATCCCTTTGCCGATCCCTTTACAGGATCCCTTTAAAGGAACCCTAAACTCTAAACTGTTACAGATCCCTTCACAGATCCCTTTGCAGGATCCCTTTAAAGGAACCCTAAACTCTAAGCCCTTACAAATCCCGTTCACAGATCCCTTACAGGATCCCTTTAAAGGAACCCTAAACTCTAAACCCTTACAGATCCCTTTTACAGGATCCCTTTAAAGGAACCCTAAACTCCAAACCCTTACAGATCCCGTTTACAGGATCCCTTTCAAGGATCCCTCAAAGGAACCCTAAACTCTAAACCCTAAACCCTAAACCCTGAACCCTTACAGATCCCTTTACAGGCGTCCTAAAGAGACCCATGTCTGACAGGATGGGTCTGGCGAACTGACTCTCGACGCCGGGGTCTCACAGGGTCTTTACAGGTGCTGCCTTAAGGGGCTTTCGGGCTCACCCTAACCCCCCAAGTACCTACTATATAGTAGTACCCTATATAGTAGGTTTCTGGGGGTTTCGGGCTCAGTGGTTTAGGATTTGGGGTTTAGGGGTTTAGGGCTCAGGTTTAGGGGTTTCGGGCTCCGTGGTTGAGGATTTGGGGTTTAGGGGGCTTAGGGTTTAAGGGTTTGCGGTTAGTGTGATTCCGGCACGGGTTGTCAACAAGGCTTCCTGTGTGGGGTAACTGTCGAGATTGCTTTTACAGGGGTAGTATAGGGTACACCATGAAAGGATGTTATAATGTTTTTTATGCAGGTTTGCTCGGGGTCTCGTAAGGTTCGGGTGTAGCAGGGCTTCATGAAAAAGCTAGGGCCCTGCTGACCCGGATCCTGTCATGAGCTTGCACCGGTGTTGGAGAGTGGTCCGAAAAGTGAAGTCATCATCAAAGCCCAACCGTGCTTGTCTGTGGGATGAACCGCCACAATCCGAGATGCATGTGCGCAAGAAGCTGCTGGAGTGCCTCAATTGTATCGAGCTGAGGTAAGATTTGACGGCGCACCCCTGCTAAAAACTCTTAACCAAGATGTGCGCCACCAGGTGCGCTCAATTTGCACGTTCTCCCAGGAGGTGTCGCGTGCAGGCTTAATGAGGGACGTCAGCAGACACTTCATGCCGGCTGGGTGATCAGAGTACACCCCATCCGGGGGGAGTGCCGGCAGAAAAATGACGGAAGGGAGCAAGCGACTGTAGGAGAGCTTGTGTTCTCACGAAGGTGTTCGTCTCCAGCTGGTGTTGCTTAGACTCAGACTCTTGGTGGGGTTCGCTTTGCAGTAATTTTCGGCCCTAAACCCTAAACCCTGATGTTCCACAAAAACCCTAATCTTCAGCTTGCTACTGTGGGCTTTATCTGAGTTGTCCTCCTTAGGATTTAGGGTCCAGGGTTTAGAGACCACAGTGTTCTGTGATTCGTTTTACAGAGTCCTTCAGAGCTTTAGAGCCAGCTTCTTGGCTGTTCGGGGACCAGACTTCCAGGGCTATGGGTTTGGGATTTATAACAACCCTCATCCCGAAACCCCTAAACCCTAAAAACCTAAACCCTAAAACCCTAAACCCTAAACCCTAAACCTGTTTAGCTTCAGGGCTTTTGAGGCGTTCTGAGGCGTAGACGGTAAAGGTTCAGGGTCTCAGCGGTGCTCTGACCTTAGGAGCCCCCCCTGGTTTAACGAGTCTGGGTCTGCAATTATCCCAAAGGGTCCAAGTACTAATATGGTAGCTACTTTGTAGGTATTTGGGCCCCAAAAGTATATACTATACTATAACTCGGACCGTTTGGGATATGAAGCTTCGGTGCTGCATA